ATATTAGAATACTTACCAGTAGCATAAGTCATCACGTTCAGTGAAGGACTGTTCTTGGGCTCACTGCTCGCTTTGTTTCTTTAGAGACCCGCACAGACTGTCACGCCATGTTGATGTCACGGACTGTCAAGATGCATTACATTACTTTATTTACCCTCGGATTTCAGAGTAGCTTATGCAGCTAATATCTCCGAGCATTCAACCATCAGATGAGAGATAGACCACCACACCGGGAACTACGTCCCCTACTCTTTTCGATCAGATGTCAAGTCTCATGCGCGTTCCTCGTTCCCAGGGTCTCTCTTGGGGCAACAGGAAGAGAGACCCTGGAAACGAGGTTGTCTTAAATAAATCGTTCTGGTAAAAAGGTATTTTAGATAGTAAATTTCAAGTTATGAAGAGAGGAATTGGTATTTGATACTCCAAGCACGCAAGGGAGAAATGAAACGAGATCTAGTAGTTCCCAGTCTTTCCACGCAAAGTCTACATGGTACCGTCAGGGGAGTGTGTAATTCCCATACTAAGCCTATGTCACGGCATTTTTACAGACCGGTCTATTTTTAGGCTTCTTTTCCTGCAAAATAGCTCAGTTCCGGTCTAAATGGGCGCACATCGGTAAGGAAAAAAAACAGGCGGCCTAAGGTGGAAATGTCGATCTGATAAAATACGTCTTGCTTGCTTGGTCACTGATTGTGTTTGGTCACTGAGGTTCCTAAGGGGGTCTGAATTCGCGGTAAATTCAAACTAAAAATAGATCGGTCTGTCAAAACGTCGTGACAGGAATATGGGGTAGTTGCACGCTCCTAGTGATGGGTTCCTGGTACCGTAAATCCTCGAAATAGAGTCCCCCCTCAGATAGGCGTCCCTTGGAAAAAGCGCGGCCCCTCTTACCAGCCAAAATCTAAAATAAGTGCCTCCCCTCGACTAAGCGCCCCTGTCCCCTCCTCCTGTTTAATGGAAGAGTACTGAGACAACAAGGAATGTATAGTTTTAGTCGTGTTCAATCACAAGCAAGTGATTGTCGACTCATTCAAGCACTGCGAATTGACCGTCGCAACGGATGGCGGTGAAGATCTGCTGATTCATTGCCTAAAGCCCAACCAACCTTGTGCAACAGGCCTAGACCGGCTAAAGGTGTCATTTTACGTAGTTCGTAAAGAGAGACAGGATCTCTCTGAGACTTCTGAGGGACTGACACATATATGTATAACAAAAAACCTCGATCTGACCGCGATTTCGGAAAAGCACTTGACTAAGTGCCTCCCTCGAATAAGCGCCCCCCGTCTTCTCCTAAATTTGATATAAGCGCCCCGGGCGCTAATTTGAGGATATATGGACCTTCTCCATGTCAGCTGTATGACGCCATCTGGCAGGCAGATCCTTAATTTTTATTTTCAAATTTAAAATTATCACAGAACTGTTTTAGTCGTGGAGAATCGTCCCGTAGGACCGGTTAGTAAGTTTTGAAGTAGCTATAAGTACTTAAATGTTGGCGCGATTCTGACATAAAAGCAGATAGGAGTAGTCTCCAGTCTCCACCCACACCCACTCGCCATAGTGAGTAAACCTTAAAAAGGGGCGTGTCCAGACTAAGCACGTGATCCTCACTACACTAGGAGCAAGTTATGCCAAGAATGTATAATGGTATTAGACCGGTTAAGTCATTATCCAGTGGATGACGTTATTTGTTGTTATAACATGTATTCTTTTTTTTTTCCACCCTTTGAGCAATCCAGTTATCTTTTTCCAGAGAGCATTGATTAAATAGCATTGAGCTGAGGCTGGGTTAGTCGATGCCAAGCGTTACCCTAATATGTTAAAACTCTAATTCTGGTCGCTAGTAACCTAAACAGTGATATAAGACTATCGTATTCACATCCACGTAATCTATCTTTGTCCCATTTCTGGTGTCTTGTACACTGGCGCATTTGATTTAGGCAGTGGTGAATTTCCTAGGATGATATCAGCTGCCTTCTCCGCCATCATAACAGTTGGTCCATTGAGATTTCCATTCACAATACTTGGCATGATTGACGCGTCAACAATCCTAAGATTTTCCACTCCGAATACTTCTGTTTTGTTATTAACTACCGCCATTGCGTCATCTTCGGCGCCCATCTTGCAGGCGCATGATGAGTGATAAACAGTGTCAGCGGTCTGTCTTACCCAGGCATCGATTTTTTCATCCGTTTGAACGAGGTCACCTTAGAAGGTAGAAATGCATAAAGTGAGAGTACTGGGTAAAAGCGCGTTAAACGGTCTTCTATGACCAGCAAGAACCAAAAGGGTTGAAAACAGGAGGCCATTTAAAAAAAAAAACCATACCATTAACATTGTGGCTCGTGTACAAACTACATTTTTCAGTACATTGTTACAACTCTCTTTAAAGGTACTTTTCTAGCTCACCATAAACACGTACAAAACACCATTTCACTTTTTCTGTGCCAATTAGGCCATTTCCGAGTTATCTTTTGCCTCTGTTTCAAAACGAGTCTTCAATTCGTGCAAACCCTGTCAGCTCAAAATAAGTTTGATTTACACGAAAATGAAGCCGTAGGGGAACACATTTTCACATGAATGGTTTCGCACCAGAACCTGGTCTTGACTCAAAGGCAAAAAGCTTCAGAAATGACCTATTGCAAGAAAAAATGAGACGCTGTAAAGGAAATATGATACCTGGCTGTAATTCTTTGCCGCGAAAATGATCCAAAGCCTTCTGGTTAAATATTTCTCTTGTGAGCCGAACAGCGTCCCTTAATTCCACTCTGTCTTGTTCAGTGGACAGGTAGTTCGGGTTGATAAGAGGATGTTCATATGGATTCAAAGACTTCAACTTCACATATCCACGACTTGTAGGACGCAACGTGCCAGCATGAACCTTATATGAGGAATACATAATTAGAGGAGCAGCGTTAAATACGTTACACTGGCTTTTCAAAATTACTCACGGTAGCCACAGCAAGCTTGTAATTATGTCGGTCCAGTGTACTTAAAACATGCAGAATACAACGCCGTTTGTACTGTAAAACAATTCAATTAATTTAGTATCCGGTATAGAATTTTACAAGTGAGTTGGCCTAACTTAGGCATGTGACAGCTTATTTAGATCTATTTACAAGAACGCTTTTTTTCACCGCTCTACAATGCCTTTAACAGGTAGCCACGAGCTTGTTCTACACGACAAAAAGGCTATCTCTTTGTTTTGATGTCACATGGGGCATCATATCACGTAATTAAATCAGTCATCTTTTAGTTACTGGAGTGATGTGATAGTGTAAATTGAAAATCCTACGCCGGCGCTTACCTGATAGGCTTCTCTCTGTACAGTCACTCTGCCATGATCATTATAAGCTAAAGGTATAAAAGTGGTACTGGATATCAGGGTGAGATAGGCCTTCCCTGCTGCGGATAAAGCCACCAGCCTCCAGATGTGCAGTGGCACACGGCCCAGTCCTGGTGAGGAACCACTTGACTCCAATAGGAACCATGTTCCACCACTTAAGAGAGCGGTACAAACTTAAGGGTTGAGTACATTCCTGAAAAACACAAGAACAGTGAAAATGTACACAGGCTTGTTGGCAGCTGAATGAATTACATGTCACGTACAATGCTAGGTGCTGATGCAATAATTTTTATTTTACACAGTCTATATACTACAAACCTGGTGGAAATACCTCTCCAAAAGTTGACAAAGTCGTTTGGAGCTGCACTTCTCGACGTACCTAGCGTCATTCGCGAGTCGTTTGTTTCCAACCTTCGTAGGGGTTTCTGACGTTTTCGTTCAGGACCATACGGTTGCTCGTGTAAGCTCGAAGTTGTTATAAGATATTACTATACTTAGGGTGCAACGTCATATTAATTTGACTAGTATGAAAGCCAAAAGAACTGAAACGCACGTGGTCGGAAAAATGTGGCTATGGGATGAAGCAAAAAAAATGGATGGTGGGAGACAGGAATGTGCTAACTGAAGTCATGTGTTCAAGTTTAAAAGTCTTCTGCTTCAAGAAAAGGAAGGCTCAAGGAACTCTTAAATCAGGGCTACAAACCTGTTGTAAAGATACGTCCAAATGGTCCTGCAGATTGTACCCTACACCAGGAAGATGAACCTTCACGGGGATACCAAGCTTCTGCAGATCATTAGCGTTTCCGATCCCAGACAAGTTCAATATCTGCGGTGTATTAATCGCTCCAGAAGATAAAAAAAACCTCTTTCCTGGCCCTGACCCGTTTCAATTGACTTCCTAAGTGGTACTCGAATCCTACAGCACAATTCCTCTCAAAAATGATCTTGGTGATCATTGTACTTGTTTGTGCTCGGAGGCTTTTACGCCTCAATACAGGTCTGAGGTATGCATTTGGTGTATTCCACCGTACTCCTTTGTGAATTGTCATGTCCATCTAACCAAATCCTTCTTGCTGATAGCCATTCATGTCTTCTGTGAAGGGATAGCCGGCTTGGACGCCTGCATCAATAAATGCTTGGTATAAAGGATTGTCTAGTTTCTCGCCACGTGACACCTGGAGAGGACCTTCACCTCCTCTGTAATCATCTGGACCTACAGGAATTTAAATAAGTCATCTAGTCAGTTATTTAGACTTATTTAAAATCGTGCTGTGTGGTAAGCTAATTTTATCTTCCCCCTAAAAATTTGAGACTTGTTCTAGCTGCAGCTGATTCGGCAGGAGACAATTCAGATGTCTTTTCAGATGTCTTCATCGGTTAGCTGTCAAGGTGGCCTTTCTTGTGTCTTCAGGAGGAGTAAGTGTCACTGACTCAGATTTCAAAAATAATTCGACATAAAGTAAAGGTGTCCACTATGACTACTCTCTGAATTGGGCGCCAGATCAATGAAATGCAGTCTCTAATTTGGTGGTTGTCTAGTTAAGAATTACAATCTCACACTGTGGATGTAATGCGGAGGTTAACTAAAAACCCTAAAGGTTCATTTAGCCTCCAGACGCATTGGAAACGAGGCGCGGGCGGTATCATGCCATCATCACGTAAATTCTTCTACATTGCAGAGCCACTAACTGCAAGTGTTTGACCTTTCCAGAAATCGTCTTGTTAGTTGTTGTTTTAGTATAAACTTCAAGCTACCAATCGTTCAAAACTTTATCTAAATCCAATGATCCTCTTCACAGACACCTCGAAAACACCAAGAAGCGGCCGTCATTTTGTTAACAAGGGCACACTGCTACATTACTCACTATCTATCACAGAATAGATAATGAGTAGCGTAGCCAATCAGACAACGGCATTCGTAATAGAACGCTAGTGGATTTATACTAACAGTCGATAATGCTACTCCCGCGATGCATGTCGGATACGTTTATGGGCTAGATTAAAGTGAATATCCTTGTCTAAACGAACAACCGCGTCGTCGGGAAACATGACAGTTTCCGGGCAAATCCTACGATCCCAAGAGCTTTATTCCTGGGGTAACTGACAAACAGAACTTACATCTGATTCCGAAGAGCAAGAAAAAAAGATGTTCTATATCTCATTTTCATAAGCATGGTGCTACTAACCATGGAGAGACAAAATCGTACCTAATTCATGAGTCTGTGACTTCCTGAAGTATGGCCAACAGTCAGCATATGACCAGCCTTCAGCACCTTCCTTCTCCCAGCGATCATAATCATAAGCATGACCTCTGATGTACACCATGGAATTCAGTGACGACGATCCACCCCACACTCTCCCCCTGGGTTGGTAGATGCGTCTAGAAAAAAATGAGTTCTCGTGAGGACCAGAGTTTAAAGTTTAAATGTGACTTTTTCATGTAAAACTTCGAGCTCATATAAACATACTTCATTTGGCAGTCAAAATTTCATTAGTAGGACAATACGGAATCTCTGATGATCTCACATTACTCGCACAAGTTACAAGGAAAAATAGCAGCCGATCTCTAATTTTCCTTCCTCTGCTTTTATTACGGAACTAAGATGCGAGGGCTATAAACTAAAATTACCCAATAAGAATGCGTTGAACAAGATAACGTTATCTAAAGCTCAGCCCAGCCCTCTCATGAGGCATCTGTAGCCCATCAGGATAGCCATGACATTTACATGTATTTTAGCATCTGAAATTCAAATATCGTTCAGATTATAGGATAATAGAGTAATATCCTTGATAATTTAAGCCCTAGCGCAGTCTGTCTGTACCAGTCTCCATGATTATTTGAGTCACGTGGAGTCGATCGAGAGTTATAAGTTGCAATCGAGAAATATAAGTCGCTATCGCCAGTTATAAGTTGCGATCGAGAGCTACAAGTAGCGATCGAGAGTTATAAGTCGCGATCGCGAGTTATAAATTGCGATCGCGAGTTGTAAGTTGCGATCGCCAGTTATAAATTGCAATCGAGAGTTGTAAGTTGCGATCGAGAGTTATAAGTTGCGATCGAAAGTTATAAGTCGCGATCGAGAGTTACAAATTGCAATGGAGAGTTATAAGTCGCGATCGAGAGTTCTAAGTCGCGATTGCGAGTTATAAATTGCGATCGAGAGTTATAAGTTGCGATCGCAAGTT